TCGACGAACGGCACGAGCGCTAAAAGTCAATGTCGGAGCTTTAGCAACTGCAGTAAAGTAATACGTCAAAGTTCCATCGAGCGAGCTCGTTCCGTTCTTGCCTAACATACAGGGGGGGGGCAGCAACAAAAAAAGACACCTCGTCCGAGTTACACAACAACAAATTTCCGCAGCTCAGACAGAGGACGTGGATACGAGTGAAGTCCAAAGGTCATCTCCAGTCGCAGCCTGACTGGAGAAGACCTTTGGAATTCATGTCACCTCCAAACAGCTGCGAAACTTCTAGTATGGAGTCACCCATGGATAGCTACCTGGAGACCAGTACTCTCGATCTGGAAGACCTCCAACATCGAGCAGCTCCACGTCGCTACGGTCTAGGACATCATCTTCACCACAGTCGTCCAAGGCGCGGGTTGATGGTATGGACCGGACGTACCCTGGAATGGAAAGACCGATATTTTCTTCGTGGACCCCGGACTGAAGGTGAGCGCTGGCGGTTACATCGAGCAACTCGAGAAGAATATCCTCCCCACATGTCGTCGCCCGTACCTTCTTGGAAACTTTGTACTGCTACAGCATTGGGTGACACCACATGAAATTGAAGGGCGTTGGAAAAACTCTCGCCTACTTGGAATGGAAGGGCGTTGAGTTCCTGAAGAAGATGGAATATCAAGCGGGTCACCTGAAAACCCCATCAATTACCTGGTTCGGGCGGAGTTCAATAGGGTGGTCTACAGTGGCGGAGAAATCAACGATCTCGCTGAACTCAGGCACCGAACCATGGTTGCGTGGCAGAATCTCTCGATGGCGGTGGTCCAGAAGGCTGTGGCGGAGCATCATGATAGTATTTAATATGCTCTTTAATATGGTAGTAAAAAGGTCCGATCAGAATTCGATCGAAGTGTTTACAGCGCCTCGAAAGTCAAGGGAGAAAAGTGTCTATTTTTTATTGCCCTCCCCCATGTATGCACAGGCCGTGACAACTGACAAGACCAATAGGATCTTATCGACTAACATCACTTTCTGTCGCCCCATAATGTTCCCGTGCCATCTGCTACATCTCTTATTGGAACCAACTCGTTGTCAGTAGAGCGGAAATATGTGTT